TATACGCACCTTATAACTTCATCTGCGCTTAACGATTGTCTTTTGGTCCATAACTTTCAAAACAACTGCTCAACAGAATGTCACTGATAACACGTAACGCAAAAGAATATCGAAGTACGACTGCACAATAAATGTCACAAAATCTACCTAGGCGGTCCCTTCGGGATTTTCTCTCTTTACCTCATCCTAACCATTTCGTACTTGCGGGCGCAAACAATAGAAACGTCATTATTACCTACCGATTCCTTGCGGCCCCTGTTCAAACAAATCGAGATTTTTTCTGGCATACTGACTGTATATTTCAGCTGTAAGTACTTTCCTTAATATACGCGCGAGTTATTAGAGTCCCTCCTCGGGGAAGGCGAAATCCCTGCGGGGGCAGTCACGCCCATTTTGCAAAGAGGTAGCAGGAGAAAACGAAAACGGAATGAAATAACATAACCATGTTTAAAAAAAGGTGTCAAAAATCGTTCCACTTACATTGGGTGAGTTTGTACCGTCTCAACAAGCTGTATTTACTCAGGGAACACGAAGGATAAGGGGGAGGCGTTGCTTTCGCCAAGGGTTCCTAAAGTGCGTCATACAGGCCCGTCTTTACCGGTGATTTTCCGTGAGATTTGTTCTGTGATTTTAGGTTCGTGTAAGCTAGAAGCTGGGAGTATAAGCGTTCGTTTCATTTAGCAAGCGATCTCATAACCTCATAGAGGCTGATAAACTGTTGTAAACTGAAGAGCAAGGAGCCGGGCTATTCGCAATCTGCTAGATTGGAAAGAAAAACGAGAAAAGAGAAATTTACACTGCTCTCGAAAACACAATCATACATTTAGTTTTTCCGCAACATTTTAATAACAGTCCCATCTGCGCATGCATTACCCCCTCATTCCGAAACCGGCGGCCCTGACCCCAGTGGCCAATGGCTATCTTATGGCTATGAGACATGTCAAAATTAAATTCAAGTAAAATTTTTAAACCTAGGTGGTTTCTAAATTTCCAGTGGTGATTCCCTTTGTCTCCTAACCCTAATCCATGATCAATAATTAGGGCGAGGAGACAAAGGAAATCGAGAATCAACCTAGGTTAAAAAATCTCAGTTTAACCTGAGTTTAATTTTGACCTGTAACAGCTATTCCAAGAAGCCAGTACTCTACGTTTTCTCCTATCCAACAACATATATAATTGTAAAGTAATAATGATTGTTGTTTCTGCTGTTGTTGTCGTCGTTGTTGTTGTGTGACCAACCAAAAATCTTTTTCGTCTGCACTCGAGTAAGCTAGTTTTCAGGAATCAAAGATATTATTTTCTTTCTTTTAAAACACCTTTAGAAAAGGATCAAAACGGCTCACCATTGCATGTTCTTCCATCTCCTGAGTATCCTGCTTTACACGCGCATGCGTACGATCCCACAGTATTGTTGCACGCCGCATTGGCGTCACAGCTATGAGCGTTGGTAGAACACTCGTCGATGTCTGGAAAAATGTAGTGAAGGTTGCGTTAAGGAGAAGCGATTTTGCATCTGCCTGGTGGTAGTTCAGCGTAACTTATTATTGAACAAAACCCTTAATTTAATTAACCCTAACCCTAACCCTAACCTAACCCTAATTTCGGCGTCCGTATTGCTACACCCACCCCCCCCCCTGTCCCCTAGATCTGCATTTAAATCATGCTTCTCTCTGATCGATGCAAAGTTTCTGTCGTCTTCATAACATTGGCCTGTTCTTCGATAAATTCAAGATAACAGGGCATGTTCAGTCTAAAGAATATCTATCTTCAAGAGCCGTTGTCGTCGGTCGAGTATTATGTTTGCTGTTCAATTTTGCGTTGTTCTTTAAAAGGCAGTAGTTTGGCTCTTTCAGTCTTCTTTGCCATTTTCTCTACTCACCAAAACTGAACTACCAAGCCTTCAGCTGTCCTTTTTTATAATCAATAATGAAGTGCACCGCATACTTTTTCACACTAATAGGCCTTTAATCCACACGAAACCATGAATAGCCTCACCGAAGCCGCATCTTTTTTAAACCGCGCTCCAGAGCGGTTTAAGGCTTCTTCCATACAAATAAGGTGCAAAAAATGCGGTTTCCGGGGTTCTCAGTAGAGTCAGCAGAAACGGCGCGACTGACTTTCCCTGGGTCTACGCGGATGCCTTACAAGTCTCATCTTTGACAGGATAACCGAAACACCTCTCAAATTTGGTCAACGGCAGCTGGTTATGAAGAATTAGTTAAGGACATTTAAACCAATCAGAAACGCGGAAGTATTTTGAATTAATAACAGGTGTTTTATTACAGTTTGCCCACTGAAAAGTCCGGTTGAACTATACAGCAGGGAAAGCGCGGTCTCTATAAGGGATGGTTATTGATAAATCAAGAGAATTTCCTCTCTTACGTATCGCATAACAAGCTTAAACAACGTTCATAAAATATTTTATGAGAAGCAAGACAAATTAAAGTGACCAGTCAGAGAAGTTTCCACACCATAGATTTCTAGTTGTTGTTGTAGCAGTTGGTGGTGTCACCATCTATCCTAGCACTAATTATTAATAGACTGTTCACAGTCACCTATTTTTTCGTAAGATCGTGGAGTTCGAAGACTTTGCATTACGGGCGGCTTTTTTAGTTTCATGCATGTATGTACCGAGGGGGCGGGAAAGTGGTTTATAGCCGTGGGGGAAGAGAGGCGAGAAAACTGTCCTCCTCCCTCTAAGTAGATTTGACACTCATCCAAGGTGGCGCCTGTAACGCAAAGTCTTCGATCTCGACGGTCTTACGGAAAAATAGGGGACTGTGACCAGTCTAATTCGATTTCCCAGAAGAAACAGAGATAAATATATTCGTCACACTTTTTACAACTTACCAGTGCATGTCCTTCCATCTCCTGTGTATCCTGCTTTACATGCGCATACGTACGATCCCACGGTATTGTTACAGAC